CCAATACTAATGATATGTATGCTTAATAGACGGAATAGCTCTCACTTCTAAGCTTTTCAACCAAAACTGTTTGCTAACTCATCAATTAAAAACACGCCACCTAATTCATTGAATAACAAAATAGACATAATAACTCTTACTACTAATATTGAACTGATTCTCGTATTCATATAATACCTTTGTTTCTACATAAATTGGTTGAAATTTCTCGAACTAGCAGAGGAATTACTTTCATACAATTTCTAGATATTACGTCCTGGGTCCTGTAGCAATCAAATATCTAAACTAAAGTATTAAAAATATAGATTTTAATACTGTCCCCTTCCTAGATTTTGAAGTCCCTTGAGTAATCTTAATATACAAATTAAACAGTGCCGTGAATTGTCCACTCAACATCTGAGAGTTGGTGTATGCAGATGGGATGTCAACTTGCTCCTGTTGTCACGTATTGTCCTGTGACTGTCGGAGTTCTCTTTAGATACATGGTCAATTGAATCCATGGTGGTTCAATCCTCTGGAAGTTGACGTGGCAGAAACCTTTGGCTGTTCAGCAGATTGACTTTCTACTGGTAATTATCATACTATGTTCCTTGTCTTCACAATGTTTACATTTTTCATTAAAACTTTGTCTTTAGGACAATGCATTAGCATTTCCATGGTTCCATCCAGGTTAATGCAACGATGATAGAACTTTACTCTTAAAGTGGATGGAGTCATGCTGTCACTACTGAACAGTGTCTGTAGACACTCTCTCTCTGCAGTTTATATGTATCAAGAAACCCATCTTTTGAAAGAACAATTCACATTTCCTGAGATTCAGCTTAAGGTTCTCTTTCCTCAACTGATCCAGAACTATTTAATTTTTTGGTACTTCTTCAATTTTGTCATTACATCCTTTCTATATTTCATTGGAATTTTTCTGTACTTTGTTGGTATCTTTACATACTTCTTCAATTTTGTTATTACAGCCTTTCTGTTCTTCTTAAATCCTGGTGTTTTAATCTCTCTGTATATCTCCAATAGCTTCATCGATCTTGTCTTCAATCAGATCCATTTTTCTTTTTAATTCTTCTCTAGACATAATGCCTCTTTCTTTTAACTCTTCTCATAAATACCTGTATGTTACCTCTAGGTTTTCTTTTAATTTCCTATATATCAGAAATGATGTCGGGACCAAGAGCAAGATCCAAAATATACATACATTCCAAGACCAAAATCGATACTGAGACCACGATCAATCTTTAGAAAAGCATAATCCTATCAGATTTGCATTGTATAGTCAATATTTCTTTTGTCAGACTAATTATTTGCAAACGCCCAAGTAAAGCCTTTCATGACGGTGTTCAAAAGTAGTTGTTTGTTGCTATAAATCTATCAGTTTACATACATGGCTATACGTTGCTCAATAAAAATAATAAGTTATATATTTCAATATAAACATACAAAAAATTTTAAGAATTGTAAAACTTTTGTCAACTTTCTTATAGTTTCATCCCAATCCTATGACGGATTTATTATTATATATTTATTTTAATACCAACGTTTGTTTAGATTAAGTTTATATTTAGAAACATGCATAGCTTGTAGAGTTAAATATGTATTGCGAAACTCCCGCCTATTCTCAAAAATTGTAGAAGATTTTCGAGTGTAAGAATCAACAATATATGTATGCGTAAACGTTAAACTTTGTTTTGTTACGTATTCTTAATTTTTTAGAAACTCTCCACACGCCTATAAATATAACCAACGCGACACGCCAAAAAACAATATCTATTATTAGTTTACTATGGTAAGTATGCTGTAAACTTCGGAAGCTATAATTGTGATTGTTACAACGCTTGTCAATCGGAAAACTTCAGATATTTGACCAGGAGCATTTACAATGTTCGAACATTACAAATCATTAAACTTCAGTGGATTCTCATCGGACAATATTATTTTTACGAAAACATTACGTAACGTCACGGTAGAAATCTCGGCGTGTGTGGTTGGTGAATAAACGAAGGACAAAGCTAGCTAGCTCCCTGTTAAGCAAATTGTATCTACATCAACTCGTAATTAATTCGCTCATCATGAACCCTCCATAAGATTTCAAGGAAGTTCCAGACTACAAAGAAGACTCTATATTTCTTGTAAGTTTGTGAAACATTTGTTTATAAATCATTGTTTGTAATAACTGTTATTGTAAATTGTATTGTTGTGTGTATATTAAAACGTATTTGTGTTAAAAATGAAAACAGTGTATATCAATCTCGTTGGGAAATATCATAAACTGACTATATATCGGCTTTTACTTAACTGCTAAATTTGAAGTATCATTTACCTCGGTTTCAGACCGTTCGAAATTATAATACGTAATAATCCACTTAGGAATATACACCACAAATAAATGATTTAATTCTATGACATAGATATCAATTCACATGCAATTACATTTGTATATCACATTTCAATAATCATCATTGACATTCAATAAACATTTAGCAAAAATTAAATCTATTTTCAATGAGCTTGAAGTAACAATATGAATTTTAAGTACAATGACAAGGAATTAAAATCTTAATTGACATTCATTTAATACTTAATAGATTTTTGATAAGGATGTCCAATTGATACATTTTTATTTGGATAATTTAATAAATAATAAAAGATAATTTCAATGCTAACAGTGTTTATGTTTGTTTGTTTGAAGTTAAGCACAAAGCTTCACAATGGGCTATCTGTGCTCTACCCACAACGGGTATCGAAACCCGGTTTCTAGCGTTGTAAGTCCACAGACATATCGCCAATACTAACAGATGACTAAACTTTAATCTACTTATTCTAAATGAAATGGAATTAATTGTTGTAAAGAGTTGATTATCAATAATGATTAATTAAATGTGATATACATATCCAACAGTATACCAAGTAAATATCTAATTATGCCATGCAACTTATAACATAACCATTATTTTTATTAGTTTTGGAATATATTTGCACATTGTCAAGAATTATAACTTTCTTTGCAAGTAGTTCCATGGTAAGAAGATGAGAGAGATCTTGGTGACATTTTTGCTCGATGTGGTCTCATGAACAGCCTCCACCCACCCTTTCTATTATCGCTGGTGTTGAAGGAATGCAGAATATCTTCTCATACAATGGACGAGGTTTAGAAGAGATTACATTTTCTTTCAAACTTCTCCAAGGATTTGTTGTCCTAATAGTGATGGAAGCATTTCCAAAACTGAAAAACAAGATAAGGTTTTGTTGTAAGGTGGGTACTGTGTCACTGAAATTGTTGCCAGTGCTGAATGAATGCTTTACTGTTGATGGTGGGTGTCTTAACTTTGGTCATTTTATAATGCAAGAGTGCTGTTATTTATCCTTCAATTGATTCTAAGTCAAGAAGACGATCTGCTCCTTTCCAAATAGCATTATTAATATTATTTCTTAAGGCAGATTTCACTTCTGTCGATCCTAGATAACCATCTTCCAACCAAACAAAACCATAATTTGGATTCAGAAAATTAATAATGAGATAAATCACGTTACCATAAGACTGGCTGTTTTCATAAACAAAATCAGTGTATGAACGTACTTACAACTTTGCAGAGATTGTGTCAAAAATAAGACTGATACCTCATAATTTGATCTGGAGGCCAATTTTAAAATTCCGCCTCTGCTATGTACGTTTGTTGGTCTTATTTAATTTTCTTATCTTTTTCTTCTTGGTATTTTTTTAAGTTTCTGTTAATTTCTTCTTAGTCTTTTTTTTTTTAATTTTCTGTTTCTTCTTCGTTCTTATTCCTTATATAATTTTCTGTTTCTTCGTTCTTTTTTTTATTATTTTCTGGTCATTTCCTTCTCTACCTTCTTTTAATTGTTCTTTTATTTCTAGCAAAGTTTCGATCTTACTTGATAATCTTGATGCCATTTTGAAGTTGCAATTCAGCCAAAGTTCTGCTTTATTTTCACCAAAATTTTGTTGCATGTTCTATTGTTGGGCAGGTTCTTCTGGAGGATTTGGTAAAATAGTACCGAGTTTGCCGCCCAGTGGCACAGCGGTATATATGCGGACTTACAACGCTAAAAACCGGGTTTCGATACCCGTGGTGGGCAGAGCACAGATAGCCCATTGTGTAGCTTTATGCTTAACTTCAGAAAAGCCAAACAAATACCAAGTTCAGTCCATGTAATGATAACAAAATAATTCATTTCTTGAATGATGTTTGCTACAAGCTACGTTCATTCTGATACAAACTGTAGACCTAAGTTCAAAAGCAACGTTTCAATAGAAACTCCAATATGTATTCCCAGTGCTCGAATTGGGGAATAATTGAGAGGAACACTGTTCCACTTGTTAACAGAAAGAAAAACCAAAATATTGTTTGCCAAGTTCTTGATTGTGTGAACAATAAATCTGTGATTAAATTCAGGAGATCCCCTTGTTAACTTTTTGCAACTTGAATTACTGCTATGTGTGTACCCTTAACTTTCTTAACAATTTTTCAAGAGAATTTTTTTACAAATTTATTGATAACAAACATACTAACAAATGTATTGCATTGTGTAAATGAATGCTCCAGAGACTTATTGGTAATATTGTGAACTTATGACGCTAAAAATCGGGTTTCGATACCCATGGTAGACACAATACAGATAGCCCATTATGTAGTTTTGCGCTTAACAACACGCAAACAAAAGTGTAACTGAATAGACGCAATGTCATTCACTATTAACACTGAACTCATTCACTCACTGTTTCGCGGATTCTCGAATCTATATGTTATATTCGCGTTTCTATATACTGCACGAAATTTTAGATTTTACGAGGGCCTTAACTTTTCATGTCCTTTCTACATATTGTGTCACGTTTCATCTAAAAAATAGATATCTAAGTTAAAATATCAACTAGAAAATATAGAAAAAAAGATTATCTCAAAATACATGAAACAAATATTTATAAGAGATTAAAAAGCACCATCTAACGTCAAACAACTAAATTAACTGAATGATACTGTTAAAATTACAATATTTAACTTCAGGGATTTAGTAACATTGAAACAAACATTTCTGTAAAGTATGAGTATATGTTTTATAATAATATTAGACAGTAAAATATTATTAGTATAATATTTTAAAATATAGCTCTCCAACTTTACTTGTTACGCTTAACTTTTACATTGTTATTGTTATAAATTATAGTGTTACTTAGTTACGTTAGTATAGCTCTAATTAATATTCAGCAGCAGAGGTATTAGTATTAGAACAATAGAAATGTAACTTCAGTTGTAATTGTAACTGTAGTTAAGTCACACAAGTGTATTATTATTCATTCAAAGTTTAACACGTCATTACTACTAAAATACTAGTACTAGGTCTTACCTAGTACTACAGAACTGATAGTGATAAGTATTCTTATTACTATCAGCCCTACTAGTAGAGCTACACTGTTAAAGTCTTGCATATATATTACTAATATAATGTGTTAAAATTAACATTGCTAATATATTTATAGACATAATCTGATCTGATGTGTGAACACTGCCAAATTATTTCAAGTTCATTACTTATAAGTTGTAATTAGTCATTATGCTCAGGTTTTTTTCCAAGTCCTATTTCATTGAAATTACCATTAGAGAATGGCATGTCAATACTACTTTGTTTAATTTGAAATAATACTTCTAGTACTAGTAGTAATAAAATTGATTTGTTATCACTTTGTCTGGGCACTTTACTAGTTGTTTGAACATAAATCCAAAAATATTTTAATTTGTACTTTTTGGTGTTACAGTTAGTAATATAATGTTGACAGTTACCAGACAAATTTGGCTTATGATAGTGCAAGAACCAAGAAAATGCTATTCTAACATTAAAGTATAATGAATTAGACTGAGTTTGAAGCTTTTATTATTTGGGCATTTAGTTTTACCCACTTCTGAAGTAGGGGCATGTCCAAATGAAATAAGTAATACCTCAGAGTCTAATTGGAAAAGAGTTCCATATGGCACCCCCACCCAAAAATTGTAGAATTGCCTGGATAAAAAAGATTCTGAAAAGGGTTTATTTTAAGGGGTGTATTAGAAAAATTGGGGCATGGCTTTGACAAGGATTTGTGTGAATACATGTGGAGAACATTATATTCAGATAAAAGTAGCCTTTTTG